AATGTTGTTAATTTGCGAAATATTAATTCCAAGCCTACAGAGGGATCAGATTTACTCTTCTTCTATACTGCTAAAACTGCAGAACACACTTCACATGTGGAAAGGTTCATGGAATACTATTCGCAACTCTTTACAAATAATAGGTCACCATTCGATTGAGTATTATTCCCAAATCATGTTTATGTGACATCGTCGACTGAGCTGGCATCATGAAAGCGCCCTGATAATGATATCTACTGATATTTTATCGGGGAAAAAACACCAAAACCCACCTCACTACGCCTAGACAACCCCCCCCCCCACCAAACAAAACAATTCCAAGTATTTTGTAAAAAGAATAAAGGTGGACGAATCTGCCTTCCGCAATCTATGAATAGAAAGCTTCCTGCGGGTTCACTATTCATTAACTTTTGGGAATAATCAATAGCTATGGACTTGGGAATATCCAACAGAAAATTAAAAACGCAAAATTTTGAAGCATCCTTTTTCCTTGAGTGACTGAGTGACAGTGTGAAGTGATGATTTTAAAGCGCAGAAGGCGATCAGGAGTACATTTACACAAAATTGACGTTCTCACGCTCTACCAATCCAATCAGATCTGTTTTTGTTGAGTGTGTGTAACAAAATTGCTTTGGTTGAAGCCAAAAATTCAAGACTTCGAGAGTGTTCAATTCAAGAGTGACACATGACTGTTGCCACTGACTGTTGGTTAGAATCTAGATCTAGACTAGATCTTGATCTAGAATCTAGAATCTATCTAGATCTAGATCTAGTTTTCTTTCAGACTAGATTTCTAGATCTCTAGATCTAGAAATCTAATCAGACTTGACTGTCTTGACCTAGGCCTACCTGGGGCCGGGGGAAAATGCTAACGCTCCGAAATGCTAAAGTTAAAGGCTGAAAGCTTGGATTTCGATCTACTTTCTGCCGTACTGTGACTCAGTGTGACTGTGTGTGTCCGTTGTTACAGAACGCTCATGATTCTGGTATTGGATTTTTTGCTCTTCACACTGTACTGTCATATTAAGAAAGAAGAAAGTATTGGCCCTGGGTATCTGGTTGAAGAGACAAACCTGACTTCTGAAGCAGACATCATAAATTCATAAGTAGATTCTAGATGGTAAAGTAAAGGATCACAGAATTAGAAGAATGGATGCAGATTTTACAGAGGACAGGGACTCAAATAATGATGAGCCTGTGCATCTAACAGACATTTCGATGAATGTGCCTCGGTTCACAGGCACAAGACTCGATCCTGTTGCATCCACTTCTGGGACTGCCACAAGGCCTAGATCTACTGCTGAGGTATTACATTTTTTTTTCGGAGTGTCTACGTACACGGTAACCGGGCACCTAGCCTCAATGTCATGTACACGGTAACCGGGCATGTAGCCTCAATATGTACGTACACAGTAACCGGCAACCGGGCATGTAGTCTCAGTGTCACCAGAGACTTATAATTTTTTTTAAATGCTCTCTGGTGTCACGTACACGGTAACCGGGCAGTTCAGAACTGTTCTCCAAGTTCAGTTTTTGTCTTCCGGTGTCGCCTTTATCCCCACCCCTCCCCCGACTGTACCTTTAAAAAAATCAAGAATCTCCCCCCTCCCCCCCATTCCGGAGCCCTATACTTGGCAGCCCACAGACTTTGAATGAACTTTGGTGACCCCAACCGGTACTCACAATATGATGCGCACGCACAGTTTCACTGACCGGTCACAATGGCGAGCCCGACAAGACGCTTGTGTGTGACTTTCTTTTTTTCAGCAAGTGACAGCACAGGACAAATTGATTTATTTTCATTCCAGTTACCGTGTACGTAGATACTGAGACTAGGTGCCCGGTTACCGTGTACGTAGATACTAAGACTAGGTGAGACTAGGTGCCCGGTTATTATCTACATAGACACTCAGACTAGATGCCTGGTTACCATGTCCGTTGACACTTCGTTTTTTAAAAAAATCTGTTCTTTCTAAACACATGATTACGAAGTTGTTCTTATTAAATGTCGTATATTTTCAGGACATGTTTTACGACAGCACGCCCTAATTACCACACAGATTGACACAATTAACCACCCACAAGCCTTACACGCGGCCAAAAGGAATTTGACTTTATTAGTGTCAGCACCCCACTCCTTATTGTGTCTAGAATCCACAGTGTGTATGTGGCTTCAATCACTCATGGTTTAGCAGGTCCTTGTGTTTGGGCGCTATTGAACATTTCGAACGATACATTAAAAATGTGTCGAGTCCAAAGGAGGGCATGTAGAGCACTAACTGCTTCTAGAAATTCCATAATAAAATTAAATCGTTAGTTTTTTAAGCGCTGTAAAAGAAATTAAATAATATTGTTTAAATGTTACAGAGATAAAGAGAAAATAAAGAAAAAAGTCAACCAATCTTTTTTCGACTTCCTTAACTCATTCGCTACGTATTATTTTCGGCTTGTGGACGAATTTTTTCTCGGGAGGGCGAAGGAGATGATGCCTAGTGGGCAGTTAAAAGGTTTTTGGGGCCACAAATTCAAATAAATATCAACGTATACAGTCAATACTTTCCGTGTGGTTTGTAGAATACATCTGTAAAGTTTATTTATATAATGTATTTTTCAACTTTGGTTCCTGTAAGAGACGATTATGAAACGCAATTTTGATTGGATGCGGATACAATTTGAAATAAAAAATTAATAATCTTTGGTAAAACTCATAAAATATGTTAGCACATAGTCAAATGATACATATCAAAATAACCATAAATGAATAAAGAACTGGAAAATATTGAAAAGTTTGCAATTATTTAACTACATTCCAAAATATTTGTACATTTTGAACATATAACATCCGATTTTGAAAAAAAAAAAAATTTTATAATCTTGAAAAACGATCTCAAACAGAAAAACACCCACTCGTATCTTATATGGAATTATTCAGAATTGCATTTGGAATAAACCTATTATACATGTCTTGAGTGGCACTTTTTGTGTAATTTCATCAAAAAGTTGTGATTTTGGGGAGGAAAAAACATTTTGACAATTTAGATCTAGACCTAGATCTAGCACTCAAAAATATTGATTTCTCAATAACAGTGCTTTGTCAACATGAGTCCAATGGTATCAATATTATAAAAAAGAGCCCTACATTTCTTTAGTGGGGAAAATAATGATAGATTTTGTTGTACTGACGACACTTTAGCCGCGCCGCCCCCCCCACGGCTCGGTGTAGCGAATGAGTTTTAAAAACAAGATTTTTTAAAAATTGGTGAACTTTACGTTTGGGCGCTTTTTTCTTTAAAAGTCATTTCCGTTTTCAAAACAAATTTCTTCTTCGTTGATTTTATGTCAAACAAATTCCTTTTGAATGAATTATAATATGTCTGTTCCAAATTACAGCATTCTAGAACAATTTTTGTGCGAGATGTATTCAGAAAAAAAGTTGACAGTTTTTTTTGTGGTCACCCAGTACTCAGTCTAAACGTTAGGAATAGGCCTTTGCTATATGATTATAATACAACTTAAGCATAACCTGTTAATAATGTTTTAAGAACATATATTATTATGGTTGTCTTTTATATTTTATATTAAGTTAGTTATAAAACAGTAAACCATTTATCGTGAGTGTAGTACCCTCATCACAGTAAACATAGTTAAAGTTTCAATGTTCTTCCTCGAACTGTGACTTTTGGGGTTTGTTCTTTATGGTGCATTTTAATCTCACCTTTAAATAAGTAAAACCCTCTACTGTAAAAAAAAAAAAAGATCGTGTCCTGTTTTTGTCTTTTTTTTTTCAAAATGTGTTGCTGCTTGCTGTATAAAAATGCTTTAATTCAAATACATAGGTAGAGTTGTTGACCGACAGTGGACGCCCAGCGAACACCAACGAGCTAGTTGGTATGCTGAAAAATGCTGGCACTGAGCTGACTGTGAAATACATTACTGGTAAGGAGTATGTGTTTTCCCTTTAGTTGTATTATCATGTGTTTTTAAAGAGAATAACAGTGCGTTACTTGTGTGTTTGTCAGTGTCGCAAGTGATCATAAAAATAATTTTTCTTTCTGGAGACTCTTAAATAAATACTAAATTTCTTGCAGTTGTTTCGGTGAAATGGTGTGTACTTCAAAGTGGAGGGTTCAGAATTCTTCTTAAGAGTAATGTTGTTAGCTTCTGTGGATAGTTGTAAGGTCGTTCATGAAGAAATTTGATTTTGAGGAACTTAAAATTTAATGTAATGTAAAAGTAATAGTTGAAAGAGGAGCTCGTTGATGTAATAATCAAATAATAATAAATAATAATAATATATATAACATTAATAATATATAACATTTATATAGCGCATTTCCAATTAAGTAGTTCAATGCGCTTTACATTGGAATACCCATTTTTCAAAAACCTTTCTTACTACTTCCTTTCTTCTCATGCAATATACATTAATGCACACACACACACACACACACACACACACACACACACACACACACACACACACACACACACACACACACACACACACACACACACACCACACACACACACACACACACACACACACACACACACACACACACACACCACACACACACACACACACACACACACCACACACACACACACACACACACACACACACACACAGAGACTATTTTCATCCAGACATAGGAACAGAACAACTATAATTTAAAAAATAACGTTAAAAGCTTATGAAGGATAGGCCTGCAGGAACAGAAAATGTTTAAAATGTCTTTTGAAGCTATCAAGTGTTTTTATTTGTCTTAGTTTCATGGGTAATCTGTTCCACTTAAATTGACCAAGATATGAGAAAGATCTCTCTCCATATGATTTGTATGATTTTACAGGTGTCACAAGTAGGGTGTTATCGTTTGATGATCTTAGGTTTCTCCCTGGCTTATAAATACTGGTGATAAGTTCTTGTAGATAAAAAGAAGCAGTTTTATTTACACATTTGGAACACATGACGCAGATTTTAAATATTATTATATATTAATGATCTTTTAGTAGTGGGGGAAAAGCTAGCTAGATGACTGGCAGGAAGAGATGACCTAGAGGAAGAGAAAAGAGGTATGACTTTCACTTACCCACTAGCACCGTATTCTAATTGGGGGCTCCAGTGGCTAAGTGAGTAGTGAGTTTAGACTCAAGTAATGTCAAGCAATAGGTGACACAGGGGTCAGATGGGTGGTCACTGGTGTGTGTCCTTGAGCAAGACACGATTACCCTAGCTCAAAATACAGGGCGCTGCACAGTGGCAACTGACAGTGTCATGGTTGTAAACTGTTCTGTATTTGTGTGATATTGTGTGTTTATGTATGTATTTATGTATGTATGTATTTATGTATGTACGGATTTATAATTATGTATTTATGTATGTATGTTTGCCGTTGTAAAACAAAGTGCCCTTCTGGGACAAATAAAAGTGTAATTTATTATTATTATTTCTATTATTATTATTATTATTATTATTATTATTATCTTTTTTGTCCAGGGGAATTAACGTTTGAAGAGTTCTGCCAAGAGCTAGACGAGAAAACAAAATCAGAAGCCCCACCATCAGCTGTGAGAGACGTACCACGACGGGCCGAGGCGTACACGCCAAACATCCCGGCATTTGATCAGCTGCTGGAAGATGACGGGTCAGAGGAGGAGGAGGAGGAGGAGGACGATGCTGCTGGGGCTGACGAGGAAGATCTCAGTGAAGAGGATGCTGACTTTGTCGACGCGGGAGAAATGGATGATCGTCGGGACCAAGAGTGGGTTCCTGACGAAGATGAGATGAAAAGTTTGAAAAACATGAAAGGTAAAAAAGTACTGGGTGCTAGAAAAATGGGTGACATTGCGATCCGGGCTTACACAGTTGCTGTCTGTTGCCAGAAGTTCCATAACAGTCTTCCTCTTTACAGAGATATCGTAAAAATGCTGGCTTTGAACCTGAGCCAAAGGCACTTCTAACCCCCGGGGCAGTGTCACTGACTGTAGTGTCTTTAGGCCATTCCCAAAGGGGGGACATTTCTCGTTCAAGCACAGTAGAATTGTTAATGGGCTGATTCATGTCACGCTCATAACTGCCTGATCTACAACAGGGAACTGCTGCTTTTTCTTTCCTGGTCTTTGTATGTTTGTCACTCTCTTGTGACCTGCTATTTCCGGGGTGCCTTGGTAGTCGAAGCAGACCTTGTGCTGTTGAAGCCAGAGAGGTGAGCAGAATAAGTCTGATTCCCTGTAAAGACTTCTCTGTTGACACCCACCCCTTGGCGCTCATATGACCTTATGCAGTTGCGAGCGCCGTAAAACCCTCTACTATATAAAAAAAAAGGGATAACATAAAAATGTTGGCTTTGAACCCGAGCCAAAGGCACTTCCGTTTTGTGCAATGATATGACTAAATTCTCAACAGACATGGGAAGTGTCAGTTTGTGTATCTGCTTTTGTGCATGTGTATGTGTTGATTTTTTGTTTTTCATCAACACAGAGTTTTAGAGACACTTTTAACTCCTCGATTCCGGATTGTCACTTAAGTGGGGTTTTTGGTTCCATGTTTCAGGGGATTGCCTTGTAAGTGGTGTTTGGGGGTACTGATGTCATCAACACCAACGTACCTCCCAAATTGGGATTCTCTGTCCAATGATGAATAGTTTGAGTGCTCACACAAACAAATCCATCTGTATTTGACTGAAAAATATCCATTTTTAGGTAACACCCTTCTTGGGCTCAAATTGGGTGTGTGAAATTGCGGATTCCCTTGAGTGCTGAAAGAGGTAATGTCTGAGAATTATTATGTCGTTGTTCATGTTTCGAGCTGTATCTGGGCAAGAAAAAAAAGGCTTTTGTTTTCTAGTGTTCCATGGTTTCTTTCATAGAATAGATTATAACGCGGATAGCTCGAATTTGTCGGGATGGGCCTCAGTAGTTCCAGGGATCCGTAGTTTGCGGAAGAAAAAAAAAAACGGACCGCAGGCACCATTCGACAGATGCGTGATTTCGAGTCTTCTGTGTTCGACGTATGGGTGTTATACTGTATGTCTTATGAGCCAGAAAGTACATTTCTATGAATATTTCGTGAGTGGTTGGCAGGTGCTCTGGTATAGTTTGCTTCTTCTTTCTTATCTCCCCTTCTTTTTTATGTTTGTTACTCTCTTGTAAGACCTCTAATCTTTTGGCGCTCATATGTCCTTATGCAGTTGCGAGCGCCGTACAACCTCTACTAAAAGATTTCTGTTTCCAGGTCCGAGGAAGAGAAAGCTTGATGGGTCTGACGTAATGGTGCGCAAGTATCGAAAGGTTGTAGAACTTGTCACTTGTGGCTTCTGGAATCACTTTTGTCTCTCCAATGTTTTCTTTTTTATGTATATATGTTGGTTTTTTAAAAAGTAATGATCGGCAAGTTTAGGAACGTTGATGCATTTGTCATTTGTGGCTGCTATCATCACTTTTGTATCTCCTGTGGTTTATTTTTGGTTGTAAGTGGGTGGTTGGCGGGTGCTCGGGTGTTGTTTAATCTTTGGTCTTCCCTTCTTACGTTTTTATGTACTTCTAGGTAGCAGCCCTGTTTAATTAAAGTACAGTTGTCCTCAAAGTTTTCATATACCTGAGCTCTTAAGGGCAGTAGTTTTGATGTGGTAGTCGTTGTTTTAAGCTTGGACTTGGTGTTTGTCAGCAAATGGGAAATGTGAGTCCATTCTTATTTTCAGACCTTGAGATAGTGATAATCGTTACACAGTAGATGCTTCATTTTTTGTTGTATGAATAAGAATGATATTTTTTTGGGTATTATCTATGGATGTCTTTTTTTATACCAGTGTTTGAGACATTTCTGAAAAGGACATGGATAAAGTGTTAGTTGTGGGTGGTTGGCGGGTGCTCTGGTGTGGTTTGCTCCTTCTTTCCTATCAAACATCCATCGTCCTGATCTCTTCTCCTTTTTTATGTTTGTTACTCTCTTGTAACACATCTATTCTTCAGCACTTATATTATTATGACCTTATTGTGTTGCAAGTGCTGTAAAACTCTTACGAAAACTAAAAACTAAAAGTGTTGGTTTTTATTTTCTTCTCCGATGTTTGCTGTGTATACTACTAGTATACTTTATTTTTTACTTCTGAGGAAACTTTTTATTCGTAATGTCAATAGAAACTTTTTATTCATTATGTCAATAGAGACTTTTTTGTGGCTCCCATGCAGTTGTGTTTGTGAAAGTACATTTTTTCTCTCATTTAATTTGTTGATGTTTTCTTTGCATTGACCTCAGCCTCGACGTAAACCACACGAGCTGCCTAAGCATTTGGTGGGTGCCCAGGGGAAAGCCATGCTGCTCAGAGCCCAGGGCCACACAGAGGAGGCAATCATGCTGCTCTTCGATATCATCAATAAAGGTAATCTCTGTCTCTCTCTTTCTCTTGCCCTTTTTACCTCCCATTGGAGCGTAGGCCATCAATATTTCTCCAGCGAAGCCTGTCCTGTGCATCCTTTTCTAGCTGTTTTCATGGTGTCCCTGCCTTTTCCATTTCCGCTTGTAAAATAAAGGTAATACTTTACGGGAATGTTCCGCTCTGCCATCTCATGACGAAAAAAGTATGTGCGCAGCTAGATCTAGGTCAAGTAGTGTTTTTATACAGGGGAGAAAGAGAAAGCCCTTTTCATGGCACGTTTATCTATCTTAGTTTTATGGCTATACTATTAAAATTATCAAAGTTTTGGGCTTTTGAAAATTTGCTTTATAATCTAATTACATATTGAGATTGTGGGTGGTTGGCAGGTGCTCTGGTGTGGTTTGCTTCTTCTTTCCTATCAAACATTTATCGTCTTGACCTCTCTTCCTTCTTTTTTATGTGTGTTACTCTTTTGTAACACCTCTAATCTTCGGCACTTATATGACCTTATTGTGTTGCGAGTGCTGTAAAACCTCGACTGAAACTAAAAATTATAGTTGATTTACCCTCAGCTCCCAAAGCTGCAGCTCCATACCAAGCCCTGGGATCTATCCATGAAGAGAAAGGAGATGTGAAGCAAGCCTTGAAGGTGAGGAGTTGCTTGGAGGTTTCTTTTATACTTTATCTGAGAATGAAAGCATTTGCATCTACGTTTCACTTTGAGCAGATTAGAATGAAATGTGAAGTGGTGCTAAAAAAACATGAATGATGCGGCACAGCCACTGAGATGGTGACTTCCACCTGCCATGTTTATTATCGTAGCCAGAACATTCTGAGAACTCGTTTGCCGTGTTACTGTTAAAACTACATAGTAGATATTATAATCTCCAGGGTTTTGGTAATTTTGGAATATCTATATAAATGGTGTAACCCTTTTCCTAATGAGACTGATTAGAAAATTGACTTTTAAATATAAACCAAAATTTTGACAGTTTGTTAAAGATTGCATAGCTCACAAAACATCATATGATTTTTGGGAAATGTGCGAAGGGTTTTCCAATCCATCTCGCTTATAAATGTGTGTTCTATATATTTTTTTCCATTTAGTATTTTTAGGTCTTTTCCTAATGAGGCTGACTGATTAGAAAATTGACTCCGAGATTCATCCATGTCTCGCTCATAACTGTGCCTGATCTACAACAGGGAACTGCTGCTTTTTCTTTCCTAATCTTATTGTCATTTTTCCTCTACTTCTTGTGTATGTTTGTCACACTCTTGTGACCCGCTATTTCCGGGGAGCCTTGAAAGTCGAAACAGACTTTGTGTTGTTGAAGCTAGAGAGGTGAACAGAGTAAGTCTGATTCCCTGTAAAGACTTTTTTGTTGACATCCACCCCTTTGGGATCATATGACCTTATGCAGTTGCGAGTGCCGTAAAACCTCTACTAAATAAAAAGCAAATAAAGTTTTGGTTTCGGTTTTCTCCTCTGATGTCTGCTGTATATAATCTTTCTTGTAAAACCTCTACTAAATAAAAAGCAAATAAAGTTTTGGTTTCGGTTTTCTCCTCTGATGTCTGCTGTATATAATCTCTCTTGTCCTTTTTAACTCCCAGTGGAGCATAGGCCATCAACAACATTTCTCCAGCGAAGCCTGTCATGTGCATCCTTTTCTAGCTGTTTCCATGATGTCCCCACCTTTTCCATTTCAGCCAGTACCGCTCGCCTCCATGTCATTTTTGCTTTTCCTTTCTTACGCTGTATATAATCAAAGATAGTACATAACAAGATGGGCCACTTCTCTCTTTGAGCCAATTAAAAAAGTGTCCTCAAAATTTGGTGGCGCCCTCTTCACAAAAGCGCACTCTTTGCGAACAGAGTTACCCTACTTGAGTTTTAAAAAATCAAAGTGAAACTAACATGTTTTGGGATAAATTTCGGAAGAACGCTTTTTTAAAATGGCTACGCTGACAAAAAAACCTCTTCCGGAGGAAAGGGTGATGGTTTTCTTCGTTTAATTTGACTTTAGAATGAAAGGCGAGAGGTCATTAAAATAAAAAACCTAAAACTCCGCACTGAACCTACCCGAACTGCTGATGAACAACAGTCGATCTGCGCACGCAAGGAGGTGCTATTCCTATTCTTCTTCTGGAAAAACAAAAGAGAGCTTCAAAACAGACTGCAGCGCCATCTGAAGCAAAGAGCATACTTCCTGCGGACACTTTTTTGGCTGAGTGGCCCATCTTGTTATGTACTATCTTTGATATAATACAACCGTGTTTTTATCTGGTTTGAAGCCAGTCTTTAGTTCATGGTAGGATTTTGGGTTATCTTCTTTTTGTCAAGCTGCTTTATTTAGTAGACAGATTTCCTTCAAGCACTGCTGAAAGTGCTGATTGACTAACTTATCTTTTTTGTCTTTGTTCCAAAACCATAACAGAAAAATACTCAACCCACCGGGGTAGTGCCATTGACTAGTGTCTTTAGGCCATTTCCAAAGGGGTGACATTTCTGGTTCAAGCACAGTAGAATTGTAAATGGGCTGATTCATGTCATGCTCATAACTGTGCCTGATCTACAACAGGGAACTGCTGCTTTTTCTTTCCTAATCCTTACTATTGTCATTTTTCCTCTATTTCTTTTGTATGTTTGTCTCTCTCTTGTGACCTGCTATTTTTGGGGTGCCTTGATAGTCGAAGCAGACCTTGTGCTGTTGAAGCCAGAGAGGTGAGCAGAATAAGTCTGATTCCCTGTAAAGACTTCTCTGTTGACATCCACCCCTTGGCGCTCATATGACCTTATGCAGTTGCGAGCGCCGTAAAACCCTCTACTATTAAAAAAAATTTTTTTTTTAAATACTCACTATGAATCCACCGATATTTCCAGTTTCTACTGGTTGCTGCTAACCTTCAGAGAGCTGAGCCAAAGCAGTGGTTTGAGCTCATAGACATGTGTATGAGACTCAATGATGAGAAACTGGCCTTGACCTGCTATCAAAGAGGTCAGTGGATAAGCTACATATTATATTTATGAGTGTGCCGGCTTTGGTAAGTGCCTTTGACTGTCCCCGTCGTTTTATGCAAGAAAAATTCTGAAATTATGTAAAGTGAGCCCAAAAATGTGAAATTATGTGATTCTGTTAATTTTAACAAAGATGATAAAGGAAAATAATAAGAAATTATTCAAAAAATGATCAAATTTTGCTAAATTATGCGGGGTGCATAAAACCATGGGGACAGATTGGAAGTCCCAAGCATGGCACTAAGGCCTGGTGCTGTGTAAACTTGTATGACTTGTGGTTGTAACATTGATAAAGATTGCAAAGCTGCTGAAACATAATAAGATTTTTTTTAAATGTGTGAAGCATTTTCCAGTCCATCTCGCTTATAAATGTGTATTCTATTCTTTTCCCTTGGATATTTTTCTCATTCCAGCATTTATTATCAGAAAATTTGATTAGAGTTGAAAGATGTGTGTGAAATAATATAGAAGTGTTTGTCACATCTTAGGTGTTTTAAATTATTTTTACTCATGAAAAAAGAAAATTATTTATTTAAATATTTAACAAATTTGTTTAGATATTTTATATTGGTTTGTGCCAACAGAGGGTTAGTGATAAAGCAAGATTGTATCGAGGGACCAGCTTTTGTAGCATCTCGATTTGTTTTGTTTTTATCTAAAATCCCCAGCTATGAAAGCGAGGAGAAACAGACAAGACAAGCTGGAAATTCAGATGCACAAGAGTGCGTTCTACGAAAAGCTTGATCAGCCGCAGAAAGCCATGCAGTGCCAGGAGAATGTTCTGTCCTACATGGACAAGAGTCAGCCAGATGAGATATTGGCCTTTGCCAGATCTCTGACCCACGTGAGCGACGCTATTGTCTCTTATGATGGAACCATGACAGCGACAATGACAGTGACAGCGACAATGACAGTGACAATGACAGTGACAGCGACAATGACAGTGACAATGACAGTGACAATGACAATGAGAGTGACAGAGACCGCCTTCAGTTGGGACCTCAGAAGTAAATTATGGTTTGTTTTTTTCATTTAAATCAGTCCTGCCTATGACGGCTATCTGTCTTCTACGGCCACCTTTCTCCACGACAATGCGTGGCCGTCTTTCACAGGTTTGACTGTACTCACCTATAACACAACATCGCTTATAGTAAGGAGGGGGGGGGGGAGGCGTGTTGTATACTTATACTTTGATTCCAAGATCGACCAAGTTTTATTGATCACTCGTATAATACTGTGTGAATTTCTGACATTTCTAACTTCAAAAATGTTTAATATTACTCCTTCTTTCCTATAATTTATGTATTGTCCTTAGTCCTTATCTCTTCTCTTTCTTTTCTTTGTATGTGACTCTGCAGTAATACACCTATAATCTTCAGCACTAATGCGTGTTACCAAGCTGTGTTGCAAGTGCTTTAAAACTGGTACTAAATATAAAGTTATACTATAATATTGAGATTCAAATCGCCTTTGTTGGTGGTTGGCGGATGCTCTGGTGTGGTTTGCTCCTTTCCTGTCAAACATCTATCATTCTTATCTCTCCTTCTTTTTTATGTTTGTTACTCTCTTGTGACACCTATCTTCTGGCGCTCATATGACCTTATGCAGTTGCGAGGGCTGTAAAACCTCTACTAAAACTAACTAAATCATCTTTTCAGGAGTACATGAATCAGCAGAATGTGTCCGCAGCAATTGGCGTGTTACAGTTCATTCATAAACAGCTGCCTAAGTCGATCGATGCCGAGGGTAAGTAGAAAATTAATTCACAAAGAAATGTCCAAGTCTCGATTTATTTTCAGTACTAGTCTCATGATGTTTATGGTCTTGACAAACTGGTTTTATGGTACGATGCTGGGGTGGTGCTGTAATTTTAGTTTGTGTTGATGCTGGGTACTTTTGAGGGGGTGGGGGGTAGGGTGGAGACTTTGATACACTCTTCAAGTGGATTATACTTTGTAAAGTAGTTATACTGATGGTAAGAATCAAGTAATAAGATATTAGTAGTTAAAATAACTAGAGGCTGAAAAAATTAATATGACTGTGCCAGCCTCTCAGATTAAAAGCATTTAAGTTTCAGCATAATTTTCTTAAGGATCTTCAAAATTCTTTCGGCAACAAAAGTTTTAAAATATTTTTAGAAGATTTGTAAAAATGCAATATGTATGATTTTGTTTTTCAAGAAGGGAAAGAAACTGGTGTGTTTGGTGGAGTGGTCAGGTGCTTCACACACTAGTGTTGGGCGGTACCGGCGAAACCCAGTGTCCACACTTTCTCAACACTGGGTGCCGAGAACCCCCGGTACCGGTACTGGGAGTGACATCAGGGGGTGACGTCACAGATTGTCCGTCTCGTGTCTTGTTCCACGATCAGCACCATCTGCGCACACACGTCAGAATTGGAGAGGCGAACTGTGACGCAAAATACCTTTGAAGTTTGCCGCGGCGCTGGATAAGACTCTGCATGCAAAATTTTTAAAACAAATATCGCCGCTAAAGTTGATTTCATTTTCGGAATCAGCGTATTAAAATAGGCAAAGTGGCTCGCGTGGAACCTAATTTGATGCTAATTGAATCTGAAGTCCTGTATCAAGGTCACCAGCTGCATTGTGTGCATCTGACGTCACAGCTGCTAGGCCAAGGCCTACACTTACACACAGCACACTTCCCGTGGCCCGGTTAAAAGACCGTTGGTGTCGGCATATTCGTTCTTACTCTGAGCGTCTAGGTATCGACTCCTTCCCAGAGTCGGTACTGGAAGCCAGGTGCCGGTACTTACACCTTCGGTAGAATCGAGAGTTCTGGTACTAGGTACCGGTACCTGCACATCCCTATCACACACACAGAAGACGTAAGTTCGATTCCAAAGGGTGATGAAATTTGAGTGAGTATCTCTGTATTTCTGCAGGGATATGTTGTGTCCCTCTCACCCCGGGTTGTCCCTTGTGCAGCCGGCCTCTTAGAAGATCTAAGTTGTGTTGATGGAGGCATAAAAACTCCTAAATTTGAGAAAAGGAGAGGGGCCGGAAGAGGAGGAGATATTAATTCAAATATCTTCTGTCTTTCTCTTGGGTGGTTTTGTGTTTTCTTCAACTACAATACTAGCTTACCTCAAGAAAACCACATAAAGTAGACAGGACGTCATGTGCACGTTTTATTTTGGTTTCAACATGGTGGGCATTGTCCACATGCCAGATACTTGTAGGCAACTGCAAACAAACTTGTTTGCCAAAATTGTAATTTGGTTTTAACTTAAACCAACCTGCCAAATCTCCTTCGTACACAACAGGTTGTACTATTAGAAACTGCTGGGGATAGTTGACCCTATCAGGTGGAGCTGAAGCAGCCCATCCTTTCTATGAATGGTTTAATCAGTGCCAGTTGGGGATAGAGATCAGGAACATGTCGAGTCCTCAATTATGAAAACTTTAACTGTTTATCTCCGGCAAGACGCTCCCAGCGGTTCGCAGTAGGTACTTCTGTGAGCCGGGACCGCTGTGCCGGTGAGTCTCTGGCAGTGGCTCGGGCACATTCCTTTACAACGACCTTGGCATAATTGTCGAAAACGGGTCTCTTTGAGGGGAGTTCTTTCATTAGATAAAAAACTGTCAAAATGGGTTCATTTGTTTTGATTTAATTACCAATTTAGTGACGTGCATGTCACTTTTAGGTTTCGTACCAAAAGAGGGCTCCGGCATAGTGGGGATACCTCCCTCCGGAGATAAAGAGTTCAGAAAGTGCTGTGTTCTGTTTTATGGAGAATTTAAAAAAGTGCAATGTTCTGTTTTATGGGTCATACTACATTAGTACTTTTATATATACATAGTGTAAAGCGCATAGAGCTTGCTGTACAGCGGAGTTGTGCGCTGTACAAATGCTGTTTATTATTATTGTGTTATTATTATCACATTATTATTATTCCTTATTGTTACTGTATCTCCCCAACCCTCCCCCAGATATTCATCTCCTTGTCGAGCTCTTGATGTCCCAACAATCCTATGAGAAAAGCCTAGAGGTAAGCTGGGGAAGACAGTGCTAGTTTTTACAGAGAAGAAAAACTACTCATTTAATTTGGGAGTATGGTTGGCGGGTGCTCTGGTGTGGTTTGCTCCTTCTTTCCTATTAAACATCTATCGTCCTGATCTCTCCTCCTTTTTTATGTTTGTTACTCTCTTGTAATACCTCTTATCTTGGGCACTTATATGACCTTATTGTGTTGCAAGTAGTACCGTAAAACTCTTACTAAAGCTGAAACTAAAACTGATACAACTTTGGGTTTCTGACCTCATGGTCTTGGTAACTCAAAACGGCAAAAAATATCTGAGAGAGAGAGAGAAGAAAAACTTCTCATTTAATTTGCCCTTTTCATTTGTGTTGCTGTGCATATCTAAGGATGTATGGCGTGGATGGTTGGAACAGGGCAACACTTCTTTTTTTTTTTTTTGTCCCTAATTTGTTTCTGTCTGTCAGTCTTGTTTTTTGTACAGTGCTAAATGACCTTATTGTATTGATGTGCTTCTCTACACTCTGACTCAGACCTCATAGGTTTACAGCTCATCTTTCGTAAAAATGTATTGAGTATGGTGCAAATTATTTTCTACAAAAACGAAACAAGAAAAGGGGGAATTGTTAATTCGGTGATGATCATGATGGTGATGGAAATGGTAATGGTGATGGTGATCATGATGATGATTATTTATGGTAATGATGGTGATGCTCTGATGTTTGAAATAATGTGCATATTAGTCTTAGTATTAAGTTTGTTTGGCGCTTACTCTAGATCCCCGCCAAGCATATGGCAGTCTTACACAACTGGTTCTGTATTTTTTCCCAAATAGTTTTTTTCCTTTTGCTTCTCCACATCGAATATCAATGCTGAGAAAAGTCATCTTCCTATCTCCATTCTTCATTCCTGTGAACATATCTCTGTGAAGCAGGGTAGTTTTGAATGCTTCAACAGCTTTAATTGTAACTTTTACACCCTGACTTTGTGATTTCAGGGTAATTATATTTACTGGGACTATGTCCCTCAAATGTAACTTATTGTCAGCTGTGATTAGATTTTATGTTTCAAAGACCTTATGTGAGGTGTGCTGACAAAATGAGTGACTTCTCAGATTTTAGCCTCATGGAAATAGAGATCTCAAATCTATAAGTTTTGTTTTTATTTATGAAAGAAAAGACCCGTTACAGTTGAAGAAAGTGACATCGGTTAGAAAGTGACATCGGTTAAAATTCGACAAATTTTACCTCGTATCAGTTTTGAATTTTCTGCCAATATCTTAGCTCTATTCGTGACTGATACAAGTAACTGGTTTTGTCAGCATCCCTCACTTATGTTTATTTTAGCTAAAAATAAATCTGAAAGATACTACAATGTAGAGTTACTTTGCGGGGTTTAAAAATAAAACTACTTTCCCCCCCATCTTTTTCTCTTTCAAATAGCATTACTACTTATCAAACAAGAAATCTTATTTGCGTCACGTAGATTAATTGTTTTTCATTGAATGAAGCTGCACATTCCATGCCTTAGGGGGAATGGTCTATAGCAAACTTTAAGCCCTGGGTTAGTGATATTGTAGAGCTGACTTGACTGTGGAAGGGTTTAATACTTGTATTTCTCATTTATTTTTGTTTCCTAATCAGATCCTGATCGTGCATTGTGGTGTCAAGGTCGTTGTCTCGGGTCGATCTCCAACTTCTGAAGAGATTCCAGGGATTATTGCCGACTTGTCTTCAAAGACGGAAGTTTTAGAAAAGTATGAAACTGGTTTGGATAAAAGATGTCATTATTTTTTTTGTACATTATATTTTTTATTTTGTTTGAATAACCTTTTAAGATTTTGTTTTAAAATTAAATAAAGTGTAATTATTGACTGTGTGTGGTTAGCAGGTGCTCTAGTATGGTTTGCTCCTTCTCTCCTTTCAAACATATGTCTAGTGTGGTTTGCTCTTTCTCTCCTTTCAAGCATGGAACTTTTCTCCTTCTTTTCTTTCTTTTTTGCTCTATAGTAACATCTCTTATCTTCAGCACTTGTATAATTTGAACTGTTTGTGTTGCAAGTGTAATGAAACTGTTACTTAAACTAAAACGTAATTACTGACTGCATTGATGTGTCCATAGAATGATGAGAACAGCAGGACAAGTGAAAATGTCGGCCATTTTGTATGTTGCAGAATTTCTGCAATGTGCACATACTTTTTATCCATAAACATAAGATTTTGATGAAAGAACTTCAAGTTCTAGTGGTTTTTGTATATGTTTAATGTCCCTTTTTTTATACTGTTTGGATATTTAGAAAAACTCCGTCATTTCTCGGTGAAGGCTGAAGCAGCATTGGAGGTCAGTCATTTCTCTGTGGAAAAAAACTTAACATTTTTCCTGCCGCGAGCCGCTGATGTAGCCTCACTGGACCAAGAGCCACAAAGTACGGCTCGAGTGGCTCGCTGTCTATTCCAATCCACTAATGAAAAGACATGAAATGCTAGGCCGATCTACATTTTCGAATTAATAGAATAAACTTCCTGTTGGCGAATATGTAAGTGAAAGAAAATATAGCACTGAGAGACGACTTCTTGTCATTTCAACGCTTTTTTCTATTCCCTTCGAAACCTAAAAATGAAAAGAAAAGTGCTCGCCTGACTTCAGTATATGTCTCATATTTTCATTTCTATAATAATACAAATACATATCTTTCAGCACTTCTTTGCAGTACTTGAGGCTACCAACCTGGGAAGTTTGAATGATGCTGTTGTTGTACTTTTTTAGATATGACCTTTCAAAGCTGGAAAATTGTTGATTTCATATGACACCTTCGATATTGCATAATCACTTTTAGAAACACCAAACTAATATAATTGGAATAAATCTTCAATGTTGTATCACCATCTGATAGATTACTTTCTAACCTTCAGTTTGATGGGCCATATGATATGGTTTGTGTATGTTTAGTTGGATATTTTGACATTTTCCTGTGGTGGGGTAGAGGTGTAAAAATAGGTCAGGGAAAAGCCCTAGGCCAGTGGTGGATTTTGGCCTGGTAGGAAAAGAGTTAATGGGTGATGCAGATACTGGGCTAAGGATCTCCAGTTTATGAAATGAGTGCTTTCACAGAGCTACTGACTGAAGTGTCTTTAGGCCATTCCCAAAGGGGGACATTTCTCGTTCTAATGCGCAGTATAATTGTAAATGGGCTGATCCAACAATGTCATGCTCAAAACTGTGCCTGAACTACAACAGGGATCTGCTGCTTTTTCTTTCCTCATTCTTACTATGTTCATTTTCCTCTACTTCTTTTGTATGTTTGTCACACTCTTGTGACCCGCTATTTCCGGGGTGCCTTGATAGTCGAAGCAGACTTTGTGCTGTTGAAGCTAGAGAGGTGAGCAGAGTAAGTCTGATTCCCTGTAAAGACTTCTCTGTTGACATCCACCCCTTGGCGCTCATATGACCTTATGTCATTGCGAATGCAGTTAAACCTCTACTAAAACAAAACAAACAGATATTTCATGAGGACCCCAGTTGTTGTTTTTTTTAAGCAGTCTTTGCAGTGTGAGAACTTTGTCTTAATCTTTGTCTTTGCATTCCCCTGCTAGATCTCAGGGGTAGTTCACTGATGGTTTATCACGTGCTAACCAACTGATTTTTACGTATGTGACCATTTTTGAGAACTTTATCATCGTTATCATATTTTTGTATTTTGCAGGGTAGAAGTGCCTGACCTTATGCCAGTAGATTTGAGGTCAAAGCTTGTCCAAAGTTTTGTCTCAGCAAAGTTTTTGCCAGATTTCAGTGCCTTGAAGGTCAGTTTTAAAAGTCCCTTTTGTGCAAAACTTGGTCAAGTTAATGATTGTAGAGCTCAATGCTGGGGTTTGTTCCCAACTGAAGTTATTGTTTCTTGGTAGTTCATAATGCTTGACTTTGAAAAGCAAGATACTGTACTTTTCTTCTTACTGTTATATTCATTGATGTTTGAATGGTGTTGCTTTACTTGGAGGCCAATATAAGGTAAAACTACAGATTCTAGAACGGACATTGAGTGTTGAGTGTAAAAAAATTGAAGCTTAGAGAGCAGTTTGCAAGCTGCACCGATCCACAAGTGGAAAGGAAACTTAAATGTTCCAAATGTGGCACGCATACTCTTCTCTGCCAGAAGCAGCCTCATTGGCCATTGCGGAAACAAGTCATCTTAATAGAGGCATTGGTTATTGTCCGATATTGACAGACGGACTATGTGAGGCATTGTAGTGAAATCAGGTGCTCGTCACTAGAGGGAAATAGAAGAAACCCTCAGTTTTCTACCAGTTGGACAATTTTTATCGGTCAAATAATTTTTTTTAGCTCAAAGGCATGCGAAATGTAAATTTGCAGTTTCCCAGGAGACTCAGGCTTCAGAGCCATTTTCTGGTTCATTTACCTCTGACATCAAGCGCCCTCCCCCCCCCCCCCCCCACCTTCTTCAATCACAAATATCTCGACATCTATTTAAAGTAGATGGGGGGGGGGGGGGTTACATTAAAAGCAAGATGAATGAACAAGCTCTAAGATAATACCAGTAATAAGTCCTTTTATTTAAAAAAAAATTAATTACCTGTAATGAGCTCCTGATTTCAATGTGTCGCGTGACTTGTATTATTATTGGTAGTGATGATTAAAGTCTAAGTGTGGGTGGTTGGCGGGTGCTCTGGTATGGTTTACTTCTTCTTTCTTATGAAACATCTATCGTCCTTATCTCCCCTGCTTCTTTTTTATGTTTGTTACTCTCTTGTAACACCTCTAATCTTCTGGCGCTCATATGACCTTATGCAATTGCGAATGCCGTAAAACCTCAACTAAATTTAAAAAGTCTAAGTGCAAACTTTCCTTGTTTTCTGTGTCTAGGGAGTAATATCTGGTCTGACAGACGCAGACGTGGAGGAGTTTGGAGACATCCACTACGACATCGCTGAGACCATGGTGGAGTGCGGCTACCACGAGGACGCCAGGCCAATCCTTCAGAACTTGGTCAAGTCAGAAAAATTTAGCAAGGTAATGTTTGAACCTAGTTGTTCCATTTCTTGGAATGTGTATGATTTCAGCATGTGCAGTTTGTTGTTTTTGTCGGAATTGATGTTATTGTTGCTATTGTTCATCTGTGTGCCCTTGGGGAAGAGTGGGAGGGGGGGGGAGGCGGCTTCTGCCTACACTCTGTGTCTTGTAATGAAGGTCATAAACGGTGGCCTTTAACTTTAAGGACAAGCGGGCTAACCCAGATTTGAAAAGTAGAATCCATTGCATCAGCCATCGGCTTGTGCTGATAAGTGTGTAGACAGTGTGTAGTCACTGTGTGGGCAGTGTGTAGTCACTGTATGGGCAGTGTGTAGTCACTGTATGGGCAGTGTGTAGTGGACAGTGTGTAGTCACTGTGCAGGCAGTGTGTAGTGGGCAGTGTGTAGTCACTGTGTGGGCAGACTGGCGTGGCAGTTGAGCAACTCTCGGTCCTGCAGGGTGTTCAGCAAAGCCGTAAAGTCGTAAAAAAGTCGTAAATGGTAGTAAATTTGCCTTGAAGGTAGTAAAAATTTGGTAAACGGTCGTAAATTAGCCTGCATACTGAGTGATGAAGCCAGCAAGACTTTACAGTGAACCCTAGCTGCGGTACATGACTCCGTTTTTGCCAGTTGCGATTGTGATATTATATTCGTTCACCTTTTCCCCGTCCGAGAGTACGTTTCACGCGAAAAGCCGGCTATGGCGGCAGGTGGATGTGTATGTGACAACTAGGCTTGATCGGGAAAATCAAGATCTACTTTCGCTTTCGTTACGACCCTGAAATTTGACGAAGATAAACTGATAACGCAATATGCAGGTTGTACAGTATAAACGCTGTGTCGCCGTGCAAATAAAATTTAATCATTACTTGGACTCGTCACCGTGCTGTCACTTGTTGGGGGGGGGGGGGGGGGGGGGGGGGGGGGGGAGAAAATACAAGCTTCGTCCGATTTTTAGATTGTCGGGTTCGCCAACGTGACAGGTCAGTGAACCTTCGCGAGCCTTCACAAGGTACGGCATCGGTGAGCACCGGTGTTTGTTGGGGTCGCCAAAGTTCATTAAAAAGTCCGAGCGTTGCAAAGTATAGGACAACGGAATAGGGCAGGGATTATTGATTTTTTTTTAGAGAGATACACTTGGGGGAGGGGGGGAGTGGCTGAAGGCAACACCAGAGGACAAAAATTTGTAAGCAAATTTCAGAATTTTGATTAGATTTACAGCCCTCTGCAAATGCGCATTGGTGCAGGCCTTGTGTGGAATCGGGATCCTTCATACCTTGTAAGCCGTGTTATTGAAATAAAGTGTTCGCGTTTCATTTGTTGGGTGATAATAAATTAGAACAATATTGTAGCTTTCTGTTCAAGACTGGCAGATTTTCAGTGTCACTGCCTCTTGCCCTCTCACAGTTCTTGCACCTCTCACACTGAATAGGTTTACTCGAGTCATTACGTGTGTTTGTGCGCGCGCATTGTTGTTGTGTAACATGGCCCTGGAAAATGGAGAAGCCGGTTTGGCAGTCACCCTGTGTGTACACATTAGGTATTATAAATCTACCCCCTCCCCCTCCCACCACCACCAGGGCAGTGCTACTGACTGAAACGTCTTTAGGCCATTCTCAAAGGGAGGATTTTAACATGTTCTTATGCACAGTAGAATTGTAAATATGGGCTGATTTATCAATGTCATGTTCATACTTTGCTGGACTAGCATAGGGGGAACTGCTGCCTTTTCTGTCTTCTTCTTTACTATCGTCATTTTCCTCTACTTCTTTTGTATGCTTGTCACTCTTGTGAACTACTATTTCCGGGGTGCCTTGATTCCCCGTTTGGACTTCTATGTTGACATCCACCCCTTGTCGCTCATATCACCTATGCAGTTGCGAGCACCGTAAAAACCTTACTAAAACTAAATCTAGCGGCGAGCAAGCTTGCGATCGTCTGTCTATCCTCCATTTTGTCGACTGGACTTTGTTGTGTGTTCTTTTCGTTCCATATGTTATGTAATAATAATATATATGTTCTTGATGGCGCAAATTAATTCCCTTTTTCCAGCTGGTATTGGCCTTGATTTGCTGGGTTGTAAATTTTTTTCCAGGTAGTAAATTTTTTCAGGAAATATTGCTGGACACCCTCTCCGGTCAACTCATAGAGGTGGGCTGGTTCGTTGCTTCTGTGGTAAATAAGAAGGAAAAAGACTCACTGGGCAAGAACATTGGTTCGTTACAGCAGTCAGTTCGTTATCCTATGTTTGCTAAATGTTTTTTGTTTATTTTTGTAAAGTGTTTTACGGCGCTCGCAAATGCATAGGTCATATGAGCGCGCGGGACACACCTAATATTTTCAGTTGGTAGGAAATTTTGAATTTTGCCCGGGTAACGGCCGAAGCCTACTCTTATCGATTTTAATAATAATAATAATAATAATAATAGATAGCATTTGTATAGCGCATATCCCCGCTCAACAGCAGGCTCTATGCGCTTTACACTATATTATTACCCCAGCAGACCATAGAAGACTCCGAAACATTCTCAGCTTCCTGGGAAGCATGCAGTGCAAGCTGCTGATTAAGCGCTCAAACACTAACAAACTGACAAGATCTTTCGCTGTCTATAGCCGGGTACCCATTCCCACCTGGGTGAAGTGAGGAAAATTCGTGTAAAGTGCCTTTCCCAAGGACACAACGTCAGGTCCCTGACGGGATTCGAACCCACGACCTTACGGTTGCGAGTCCGAGAGCCTAACCACTAGGCCACCGACGCCACTTTTAGACCACCAAGGGATCTTAAACGTGTGCAACTTGCACACGGGCCCTCCGAGATTTTTTGCCCTTGTCCGAGAAGGCTAGGTGTAGATCTTTCCTACCATAAGATCAGGGGTGTGGCAGAAAGACAGCAGTAAGGAGAAGCCAAGGAGTAGCAGTAGAAAGGCTGCAGAAAGAGTCAGGAGCCCAGAGGAGGGGGCAAAGGAGGGGGAAAAGGAGGTTAGGGGGTGGGGGCAGAAAGTGAAATTGAAAGCAGACAACAGAATATTGCTAGAGAGCAGGAAAGGAGGTGAAAGGAGACAATTTTAGAGAAGAAATATTTTTGGTCGCTACCCGGATTCGAACCCGGGACCTTTGAATGAGAGGCCAACACCTTAACCTCTAGGCCACGAGAGCCCCCTTGCTAAATGTGTCAAAATATAAATGTCACAAAGAGAGAAAAACACAGGGCAAAGAAATGTGTTCTTTATTTCTGTCTGTTCTTTACAAGAGTGTTCTTTATAGGTGTGCTCTACTGCATATTATGTCATATTAATGGTCTTCATTAAAGATCTAGAAATGCTACATTATTATTATTATTATTAATATTATTATTACAATGTATGTTTTCTGGCTTTTTTCAATGGATTTATAATTTGAATTTGGGCCAAATATTACCTAAGCACTTGCAGCCGATGCCACAGATGATGAAACTGATGCAATTTTTTAAATGTAAAATGTTGGGCTTAGCACATGTGAAGAGCTGTCTGGGGAAAATTTTCAGGCGGAGGTGTGGCTAAGCCCAAAATTTTAGATTGTAAAAATTGCATCAGTTTTCTCATCCGTCTGACGGAAATGTGTTTCAGGCAGAGGTGTGGCTGACCTACGCCCACTGTCTGAACGCGCTGGGCAACATCCAGGCCGCGGCGGAGGCGTACAGCAAGGTGGTGGATCTGGCCCCCAACCACTACGCCGCGCGGGTCACTCTGTCCTCTCTACAGCAGCAGATGGGCTACAACGACCGAGCTCTTGAGGTCCTCACCAATGGTGGGTGTTGCTGCCGGCCGCTTATGCAGTTGCGAGCGCCGTGAAACCTCTACTAACCCTATAAACTGGTTAGGTTCCCCATTATTGGAAGCTAGGAATGGTAGGAATCGACTGGGAAACCAATTAAAAAATAATAAAAATAATAAATTCCACTTTTATTTGTCCCGAAAGGGCACTTTGTTTTACCATGGCAACATATACAAACATAAATACATAATTATAAATATGTACATACATAAATACATGCATTTATATAAATACATACATAAATACACAATATTACACAAATACAGAACAGTTTAAAACCATGCCACTGTCGGTCGCCACTGTGCAGCGCCTTGTATTTTGAGCTAGGGTTGTCGTGTCTTGCTCAAGGACACACCCCAGTGACCACCCATCTGATCCCCGTGTCACCGACAGTTGCTTGACATTACTTGAGTCTAAACTTACTGCTCACTTAGTCACAAAACTTTGGTGACCATTTTCTCGCTAATTTCAACACTGGAAAATGGGGACCTCACCTCCTTCAGTCGCAAATATCTTGAGTTCTGTTCAAGATAAATGGATATTTATTTCATTGGAAGCAAGGCTAATAAATCAGCTTTCCGAGGATACCAATAACTTTACATGCCAAAAAATTAACAAGTGCCTGATTCCACCGCGTCGTGACACATATTACAGTATCTCTCACATGTGCAGAACCATGCATACTTCTACTTGTGGGGATTGTGTATTACTGAGGACTCCATTTTTCTCAGGAAAATATGACTACTTCGAGTATTCTAACTATGTGTAATTTTGTTCTTTTGTTCTTTTTCTTTTCTTTTTTTTGTGACATCAGCAACAGATCCTTCGGGAGAAAGCCCTGCGACGTCGGATCAGCTCCTGTTGCTGCACAAATGTCAGTTGTTGCACTCCCAGGGACGTACGGAAGATTTCATCAGCTCTGGGCGGAGATTGTTGTCCTACAACATGCGAGGGGAATACAGCCCAGACTTTCTGAAGAGTAAGTACAGTGGAACTTGCTCTAATGACCACTTGTTACAGGCAGTAAGTACAGCGGAACTGACCACTTGTTACAGGCAGTAAGTACAGCGGAACTGGCCACTTGTTACAGGCAGTCCACTTGTTACAGGCAGTAAGTACAGCGGAACTGGCCACTTGTTACAGGCAGTAAGTACAGCGGAACTTGCTCTACTGACCACTTGTTACAGGCAAGCGTCTTTATAAAGGACCACTTCCTGCTTTTCCCTTTAGTGTTTTCTGTATTATGTTCTCCTCCTCCTCCTCCTCCTCCTCCCCCTCCCCTCCCTCCCTCCCCCTCCTCCTCCTCATCCTCTCCCTCCTCCTCCTCCTCCTTCTCCCCCTCCCCTTTCTCCTCCCCCTTCCCCTCCCCCTCCCCCTCCCCATCCTCCTCCAAATGGATACCCCAGTCTCTAGCGTGAAGGTTGCTATTCCCGGCAGGTCCTCCAGGCCTTTGTAGAGTTTTGGATCTCTCTGCCTAGGGTTGGGCCAATATTTGGGTGCAAACAGTATGTCTGGGACTTTATTTTCTCGTGGATTAACACACAGTAATCAGTACTGCTTCTCCGTGTTTCAACTTGATGATCCCTTCTTCTGTTGACAACCAGTACGGCCTGTGAGACAGGATGAGAGCGAGGTGTTACTCAATCTGATGTTACTGGCTGGATTTGTATGCATGGGAGAGTTTGGGCATTTCTTTGTTTTTTATAATTTCAGCTATACTAAAACTAATAAATGGAAGACACATTGTTTGACTGAGGTGTTTTGTGATTCCTTATAAGTGCCTCGAGCATTGGGCAGGCTTGTAGCATATGGTCCCCTGTTTGACTGCTGACACTGCTCTGAGTTGCCAATCTATCTGTATTATATTCGTAGTAACAGCAAAAGTTCACTAAAGGAGGTGATGATTACGCATTTTTGCATGAATATATTCACTGAATTCATTGCCTGTTTGTTTACTGTTTATGCTACTTCTTTACCTTCCCATTGTTGTTTCTGTCTCTCTGTCTGTCTTACTTTTTCCCAACACTAAATAACCATTTTTGTGTCGATGTGCTTCTTCTTTTTTCTCAAAGAAACAAACAAAGCTGTTTACAATTCATGTATTGAGCTATACATATTTTCATTATATGAGTATTTGCATGAAGTGTTTGTCCTGGTGTTTCAGTATTGTTGGCTATAAGGACGATGAAGTCACGCAAGAAGTTCTACCCTCATCTGTCAGGCAAGAAAACAGGTACGATATTTGCTCCCATATATATATATATATATATATATATATATATATTTTTTTTTTTTTAGTTTAGGGGGTTGGTCTGATGTAGTCTGCTCCCTTCACTTCTTTTCAGTCTCATTGTTTTAACATGTCTCTTAGCTATTAGTAGAAGTAAATAGTAAATAGCATTTGTATAGCGCATGTCTCCACTCTAAAGCAAGCTCTATGCGCTTTACACTATACTATTACCCCAGTAGACCATAGAACACTCAGAAACATTCTCAGCTTCCCAGGAAGTATACAGTGCAAGTAGCTATTACCAGGGTAACCCACAGTAAACTTCGCCTTCACCCTTTTGTGACCTATACAACGTACGCCGCTTCTCATTTCTTGTTCTTGTACAGCGAAGAAGTCGAGATGCTGCTGTGACATAGAGCGTTCGTCATGCCTTGTGAAGCGCGACGGCTGACCTGCCACTCATCCTGATTCAATCGGAATATCCCGATTTTTTGCCCCGAATCTCAAGCTTCCGGGGTTTTTTTTCCAGATCCTGATTTTTTTACTCTGACATCCTGATTTTTAGAGTTCATAGAGTGGCAGGTCTGGCGAAGGCCATGATGACCAGCCCTGCTCATTACAGGTTGTGTTCTGCGCACTGCTTCTGTTAGATGCATGTTTGTTGTAGTCCCGTTCTGTTTTGTTCAAAGCACGAGAAGAAAAGAATTACACCTGTTGTTTCTATTATTGTAATGATTTTAGAGGTATTACGTTCTGCTATTTGGCATATTCATGTTTGACCTGAAGTCTTGAGAAAAGACTTGGCAGGCAGTGTACGGACGGTAGTTAATCAGGCATGCCACTTTTCTGCTTTTTTCCGGTATTTCCTGTGTTTTGTTCCTGATCCGCTATTCCGAATTATTGAGATCGAGATAGAATCTATAGTTGGAAAAAAAAATTGGATTTCAAATTGATATTCATATGTTAGCGAGACCGTGGCGCGTGGATTTTCAGCTATTTAAAAAAAAGTTGAGTGGTGTCCCTGGTTAATAAAAATGGTCACCTCCATGTGAAAGCTTATTCTGGTGATTCTATCCAAAGTAATCTTGAGTGTCTGCCGGAAAAATGAATTGAAACTCACCAACCGACAAAACAATAATGGTTTTGTTTTCTCTTGCCCCAGATGGAGAAGTCTCTGATGAAATTTCGGAGCTGGAGAAAGTGGAACAGGAGAAGTTCAAGGAGGACATGTGGGATGTCTATCTCAAGGTCAGGAGGTCGTCAAGTAGTTCCAGGCATATTGTTTGATTTGTTTCTTAACATTTTGCCATCACATCTCGCCAATCGGCTATGTTTGCCACCCAGTTTCTTTGGAGTTTCCCCAAAATACCTTTGCCTTTGATGGCAAGGGTTTTTACTATATGAGCCTTGTGATGGAAAAGTGTTAAAGCTGAATTCTCCGTCTTGATCGTTGAAAGATGCCGCCATCGATTGATCCTACTTCTCTCCTCTCCTTTCAGTACTTGCTTATCCGTCATTGTTTCGCTTTTCTTCAGCTCAGGATGTATGTAACCCCCTCAAGGTGGTCCTACTGATTGAAGTGTCTTTAGGCCATTCCCAAAGGGGGGACATTAACCATGTTCTTATGCACAGTAGAATTGTAATTGTAAATGGGCTGATTCATCAATGTCGCGCTCATAACTGTGCCTGAACTGCAACAGGGAACTGCTACTTTTTCTTTCCTAATCCTTACTATTGTCATTTTGCCTCTACTTCTTTTGTATGTTTGTCACACTCTTGTGACCTGCTATTTCCGGGGTGCCTTGATAGTCGGAGCAGACTTTGTTTCGTTGAAGCTAGAGAGGTGAGCAGAGTAAGTCTGATTCCCTGTTAGGACTTCTCTTTTGACATTCACCCCTTGGCGCTCATATGACCTTATGCAGTTGTGAGCACCTTAAAACCTCTACTAAAACAAAAATTAACAAACAGGATGTATGCCTCCATAACACAGCGAGCAGCCTGTCCGAGTCAAAATCAATGAAAATCTCAAAGTCTGTGCTATTTTTTAATTGGAAGCTGCGTTTTTATCAAAGTTTAAAGCAATCCAGAAAATGAAGGGTGTAGTGTTGCAAGCCGAGTCATACAGTAACAATACACAGGTGTGCATTTGGCCATTTCATGTCACCAGGTCATTCACCTCCGCATGTCATTATTTCTGGTCTTAGGACAGCTTGACTGTCAATGATTTGACTATGTATTACATGATGTAGGTGGGTGGTTGGCGGGTGCTGTGGTGTGGTGTGGTTTGCTTCTTCTTTCCTATCAAACATCTATTGTCCTTATCTCCCCTTCTTCTTTTTTATGTTGGTTAATGTTACTCTCTTGTAACACCTCTAATCTTCTGGCGCTCATATGACCTTATGCAGTTGCGAGCACCGTAAAACCTCTACTTAAACCAAAAAAAAACAGAACTAATACATGATGTTGTCTCATTCATCTTTATGCTGCTTTAGTTTGTCTTTATAGTCAAGGAGAGGTTTGGATGCCATTTAAAAAAAAACAAACATTTAATTATTTGTCTTTAATTTGTTTAGCTGATCAGGGCACTGCATAAGGAAGGAGATGAACAGGTTTTACTCAACACGGCTATTCTTGGTATCACCTGCCCTGCGTTTTGTGAGGACGAAGCCAAAGTGAAGGTCAGTTGTTTATCCTGCTCTTTTTGTCCAGTTTTGTGTCTGTTGTTACTTGAACATAAAAGAATATTCAACACTAACCTTTTGGTTGCCTGCGGAGATGCGTTTACAACAAGGGTTAGCCAAACCTGTCTCTCTCTCTCTAGATCGTGTGATCCTTTCCTCAGCGGTGGGACCCCCGTGTGTTGGAATCTCACAACACAAGTAATAATAATAATAATAGTTAGTATTTGTATAGCGCATATCCCCGCTCAGCAGCAGGCTCTATGCGCTTTACACTATATTATTACCCCAGCAGACCATAGAACACTCCGAAACATTCTCAGCTTCCCGGGAAGCATACAGTGCAAGCAGCCGATTAAGTGCTCAAACACTAACAAACTGACAAGATCTTTCGCTGTCTATAGCCGGGTACCCATTCCCACCTGGGTGAAGTGAGGAAAATTCGTGTAAAGTGCCTTTCCCAAGGACACAACGTTGGGCCCTTGACGGGATTCGAACCCAGAAATAGACTGAGGCTCTGAACAGCCATTCCCCCTTTCCTCACACCAAAATCTCTACAGGCCTCTTCCTCCTCCTCGATAAAGATCTCCCCTCTACCCTGCTGTAATCCAGACTAAACTCGTCTCACACTTACTCCTCTCTGCTTTATACACTTGCGCTAAACAATACAATAGGCTAGGCCTATCCCCCTGCCACTGACCAAAACGCCAGATTGCCCAATAAACAGCCAAGTAGACCACATTTTCCCATCTAGATTGTGAGTTATGAGGTGCAGGGCCTAGTGCGTTCTCAGACTGATAGATGTTTACGCTCTCACCATACATCATGTGCACTTTTTCACACGCACTCTCCTCCGCAAATATGTCCTCTTATTACTCTTAATGATCCAAGTGCACTCATATATCTGTCCCTGTAGGATTATGCGATTGTGCGGCCTCTGCGTTTCTTTTCGCGTAATTCTGCAACATTTGCATAAATTTGGATTCCCCACATTTTCTTTTTCTTCATTTTTCGGAAAACAATTAACGCCTCGCCATGTGACTAAAGGGAAGTAATCTACGTGTTTAGTCTCATTTGAGTGAAAAGATGGTTATTCCCCTTGTTAGTTAGAAGATCTTGATTAATGGTTATTGGTTAGCGCTTTTGTTCCTTGAGCATGTTCTATAAAAGTTGTTCTCATGTCTGCTGATGTTTCATGTTTGACAGGTGTCCCTGGTTTTAGTATTATATATTGTGCCAGCATCAGAGGTCCAGATGTCCTTTTTTTTTTCCTCTATAGATCTACAGCCGAACAAAGCCGAATTGCGTTTTAGATATCTCTGGTCTTACACTTTTTCTCAATCTTCCCATTATTACTCACAACAATATTTTTGTAAAATGACTCATAAGGCTAATTGTTCTATAAATGTGATATGCATACATGCACACACTCTTTTCTCTCTCTCTCTCTGTCTCTGTCTCTCTCTCTGTCTGTCTCTCTCTGTCTGTCTCTCTCTCTCTCTCTCTCTCTCT